GCAGGTTTCTAAGGTTCTTCTTCTACATATTAAAAAGTTGTTAAACATCTGAGTGGTGCACTGCTGCTACTAGTGGTGAGAAAGTGTATTACACCTTATTCTAAATCAATGCGGTCCGGCGGCCCAAAGATAAAACCTGTTGTTCTTTTGAGGCCCTCAAGGTGGCGGTCACGGCCCACAATTGGGCCGCCGCTCATAGGTAAAGAATATCTGGATTAAATAATCTGAATGTATCGTTTACATGTACACAATCCAATCATGACAAGTGTTTACCAGGGAAACAGTTTAAGAAAAGTTAAATTTAAGACTTTTCAATGCCAAGTGAAATTAAATTTAAGACCAATTTCACTATGAACACAAATGACAAAAATAAATTAAACCAGGGGTGCCCAACCAGTCGCTTGCGGGCGACTGGTTGCCCGCCAGCTGATTCCCAGGTGCCCGCGAAGCGCAACTTACTCTAACAGCTGCTGTCAGCTGCTAGAACAAGGTTACCTCCGGTCAGGAGCTCACTGAGCTTCATTCTAACTCCGGCAGAAGCGGTGGAGGTGGGAGGAGGAGGAGAGCGGAGGGAGCGCGTTCAGGAATGTAAACTCCTCCCGCCTCCCACCTCCACCGCTTCTGCCGGAGTTAGAATGAAGCTCAGAGGAGGGTAGTCTCGCGCGTTCTGGGTGCTGTGAGACAGCAGCGCTCCGAACATGATCTTGCGAGACTTTAGGGTCAATTGTTTAAAACATGATCTTGAGGCGGAAAATAATGAACAAAAAATGAGCTAAAAAGCAAACAAAAACTTATTATTTTCACCTGGAGTGGGAAGAGGACTCATATGTAATTCGAGCGCTGCCTTGTCCAAAAAAGGATAACGTGGAACGGCATTTCAAAACAATGCACAAACACGGATTTCCTCCTAAAACTGCACAGCATTGATTTTCACACCAGAGGTAAGGATAATGTAGCTCATCCTGCCTCAACACAAAAAAGGTCTTTCAGTGATGACCAAGTTATGAAAGAAACGTTTGATGTTGCAGACATGCTTTTTTTCTGTGATTTTAAAAATAAATGTGAGATTGTGGCTGCTATAAAGACGTGCAGTTGTCCAGAATGGTTGACATTGTGTCCAAATTCGTGTCCTTGTTCTGCTGGACTGCTCTGGTGTTGAAAATGAGYTTTTGACTCTGCAAAATGACACTGGGATCAAATCCTGAGCAACAAGTGGCATGGATGGAGAGTTCTGCAGTCTGCTGTCAGAGGAAACGTATCCTAACATCAGAAGAGGGGCTTTGGACTTAACAGAACTTTTTGGATCTACCTGTGTGAGTCTGCTTTCTCTCACATGAAAATCAATAAGTCCAAAACCAGATCCACAATAACTTATCATCTGGAGACCTGCCTGCACCTCAACCACCTCATACTGCCCGCCCTGGTTCCTCCTCTCAGTGTCAGAA